AGATAATATGTGTTGCCGAATATTATATTTTATTTTAATATAAACTTATTAATACTATTTTATTATCGTTAATTGATAATGTAATTAATAAAAAGGATTATTTACTATTAAAAATGGTCATTAACAGTCACCGCTAACCTTTGGCCGGCAAAAACACCAGTCCACTTCCGGCGGTTGAAGTCGGAGGCGGGATTATAAGTCTGTATGAGCTCCGCCGGCACACCGGAAGCCGCTGCGAGCTTCGACAACGTGTCGCCGCTTTGGAGTGGGTACGTCAAAAACAATCCATAATCCCTCGATACACGTCTATTGCCACACGAGCAATTGACGGTGACGTTAATCCCAACGTTTTCTGGTATATCTGAAGGTTCATACGAGTTCACCCTCTCCAGCCAATCCTCCGTCGTCAAGTTAGAAAAATCTTGCTGAGCAATTTTACGGTACGTATCGCCTGGTTGAATTGAGTAAGTGAAAGTGTGACCTAAGAAGACGCCGTTCAAACAATCGCACGTGAACGGCAAGTTGATTCGGGTTGCACTTGGAACATAATCCGGATTGGGGACTGTTGGATTGTATTTGAGAATCTCTGGAATTTTTTGGCCGAAAATTTCACTAATGTATGTCAGATTTGCGCCTTGCCAAACGTAGTACGAAGCTAAAGCAAGCTTACAACCAGAGATACAGTAAGCTTCAACTCTGAGAATCGGGATCAAAATGAGAAACAAAAGACAAGCCAAGAATTTTGTGCTTGCTTTTGTGGTCATTTTGAGTAGAAAAGGAAGGATGACGAGAAAAATTTTGGGAGAATTTGAGGTTATAGCTTGGTTGCAGGTTGAGGTAATTCAGAGGAGAGAAGAACTTGGTAAGAGCTTGAACCATTCTTCCGTTGTTTTAGTTTCTTCTTTAATATTTTGTGGCTTCTTGTTACGTCTTGAATCATTGTTAAGCTCGATTATTATATTACCAGAGAAGTTGAATAATACAGCTTACAAGCTTAGCATGAAAACAAATTGGAGGGTGACTCCAAATGGAAAACCTCAAATTTTAAATGTTTGAAAGAACTCAGTGCGAACTACATTGGGAAAGAATGATGTCGCTGCTATCATCCTATGAAAATTATTAAGAAAAATAGCGTTGGAGGATCACTGTGAAATTTATATTACATAAAGATCAAATAATGTGCTATTTACTCTGTAGTCTTCTAATCTTTCTTTAATATTAACTTTGTAAGTAAAATGAAGAAATTACCCCTCAAATAATTAAAAAAAAAATCCCATCAGCCCCTACTGCAAGTGGGGGTCGCCGACGGTGAGTCACCGAAATTCCAACACTGGCAACATTTTATTTGAGAAATAAATTTTTTAAGTAACTAAAGAAGAGTTTGATCCTATGACCTTTGGCTATCTAAAAAAGTAGGCCATCAAACCCTTTAATAACATATAGTAAGAATATATATATATATATATATAAACCAAGCTTCTAACTACTTTCTTGTAATAATTAGTGGTATGTTGTTAATTTCTAAACGAAAATTATTATTTTACAAATATTACTTATTAATCTGACATAGACAATTACAAATTGAGAGTTTTAAAACTCACACGTTTTACTTATTAAACGTCTCAATGTATTGTTTTCAATTATAAATAAATTATTGTCAAAGCCACACGGATACTTGTTAACGAATGACTAACATGTACAATTAAACCCTTCCTATCAATTTTTTTAACTTATTAAAATTATAATAGATTCTTGTTAATTTTGAATGAATTATTATTATTTTACAAATGTTACTTATTAATCTAATATGTACAATTATAAATTAAGGGCTTTAAGACTTCACTCATTTTACTTATTAAACATCCCAATGTATTGTTATCAATTACAAACAGGTTGTTAAAACCAAATGGATACTTGTTAATGAATGACTAATACGTATAACTAAATATTTCTTATCAATTTTTCTAACTTGTTAAACCATAATAGATTCTTATTAATTTTGAATGAATTATTGTTAGTTTATAAATGTTACTTGTTAATTTGACATGGACAATTATAAATTGAGAGTTTTAAAGTAATATTTGTAAAATAACAATAATTCATTCAAAATTAATAAGAATTTATTATGGTTTTAATAAGTTAAAAAAATTAATAGAAAAGATTTAGTTGTACATGTTAGTCATTTATTAACAAGTATCTATTTAGTTTTGACAACAATCTATTTGTGATTGATAATAATATATTAGGATGTTTAACAAAGTAAAATGCGAGTTTTAAAGCCCCTAATTTGAAATTGTTCATGTCAGATTAACAAGTGATATTTATAAAATAATAAGTTCTATTTCAAAAATTAATAACACACCGTTATATTATTACATGAAAGTGGTTAGAAACTTGATTTACTACTTTTATATATATATATATATATATATATATATTTGTTATATGTTATTAAAAGGCTTTTTAGGTGGCAAGGGTCATGGATCAAACCCTCCTTGGCCACCTAAATCAACTTTCTTTAAAATAAAATGTTAGGGCTTTGGTGACCTTGTAGCTGGCAGTGGTCCGACAGTCGTGACAGCAACAGTGGGAGTTTCTTTTTTCTTTTTAACTTGAGAAGCAATTCCATCATTTTGTTTATAAAATTAATACGAAAGAAAGATCAGAGGACTGCAAAGCAAATATGAAATCATTTAATCTTATGTGATAAAAATTTACATAATGGTCCTTGAATACTATTTTTCCATTTATTAATTTATGAGGTCAAGGTCGCCGGATTTTTAGATTTGAGGATTTTTTTTTTTTAAAGTAATTTGTGGAGGAAAGATGCAGAAGAAATGAAGAGTTGTGCATTGAACTAGGCGAATGTCTGGGCTTTCATTGTAGAGCATTGACAAGGGATGGGAAGGGATGAAGATAACCTAAATATCTTTATTAAATCTAAGATAACTCAAATAAAGCAATAATCCTGAACAAATAATTCTAATATTAAAATAATATCTAATAATTCATATTCATGATATTGGCACAGTTGAATTAGTTTGAGATGCTGATAAAAATGGCATTTTAGCAAATTACAAAATATCTCTAAGATGGAATGGTGGGTTCCACCATGAGATGAACTTTGATTGAAAAGTGCCCCGCCTTTCCACATAAGCTCAAAGATATTTTCTGTTACGATTCTAGTTGGGAGATATTTATGGTTTTGGGGACACCATAATTGGGTTCTCAGCTTCCTCTTCCCATTAATCAAAGCCTTTTCTTTCTTGAAGTCTTGAAAAGGGTATTCTGTGATCAATGGAAGCTTCTGCTACTCTTGCTCTTTCTCAAATTCCATGGGTTTATCCCACAAAACCCCACCACAGTAGAGTTTATCCTTTTGCTTCACCATTGAAGCGAAGGATCTCTCAACCCACCCACATACAATGCCAAAAGATGTACGTACCTGGTGGGTCAACTCTGTTTCTCTGTGTGGTGCTTTCTGTTCTCTGTGTTCTTGTGTGTGTGTGTTGTGCAGAGTGTAAAATTATAATATGCTATGGTGAGATGATGCAGGATATGGAGAAGGCATCACCAGAAGCAAAGGCTGCCAAGAACCTCCACAATTTCTTTACCTACATTGCAGTTAAGATTGTTTCTGCTCAACTTCAGGTTCAAATTCTATTGACCCTCCTGTAACTTATATTGAGGCTTTTTGACTGCCCTTTTTTTTCCGTGTAGCTATATTCTATGCATATTTGTCACAGGCCGTGCTAAAATTTTACCATGGCTGACAACCTTACGTATTTGACCATCGTCCTATCTCTTGCTAATTAATTACCTCAATACAAAAAATATTACTTCGGAGCAACTATACTTCCATGTTTTGTTATTTTACAAACGGATTCAATGTTTTTTTTCCTTGCACTTTATATTGGTTTATCCCAATTTATGGTTTAATCTGTAGCTTTAATTAATAATTAACCATATGCTTGTTGACCGTAGCACTATTAGTTAAAATCCTTTTTTCATTCTTCAAGCAGAGCCTATATCCGTGTCTTGTATTCATGTTTGTTTCTTGATTTAGAAAATACAGTCTAGTTCCAAGGATGAAATTTTCCAATTTTGTGAACTTACACATGCTAGAATCTTTAAAATATCACATAGGACCAAGGTCAAACGAATTACTACATAGGGCTGCGTTTTTTTTTTTTGGGTATTTTTCCTTACAAATAATTATCACCATTTATTGTTAAAAAAAGATTTTCAGCCCATCTCAATGATGAAATGATATTTCATACTCATCTTTAATGTGAAACGTTAAGATTATATTTGAGTGGTGTAGATCTTATTTTGTTTATAATTTGGTACTTCTTATTTGAAAGAAACAAAGTAAAGAGTGAAATAATTCTTCCACTTTGATATGTTTGTGCGTGTAAGTGGGTGGCCTCTCTTTCTTTTGAAGAAGTGCAAGATTAGTAGTAAAATTAAAAAAAGAAGAAGAAGAAGAAAAGCTGCCAGTCCCGATTTCATCCTAAAATTAATTCATTATTTATGAATTAAAAATATATATATATATATATATATATTCTGTACAAAAGATAGTTTTGTATCAGATGATACTCTGATCAGCTCGAACTGTTATTGTATGATGTATCCTGTGAACAATACCACCTGTTAAAGCTTATTCCCCAGCACAGAGCTACAATCGTGAAGCATACGAAGAATTGATGGAATTCTTGAGTAGACACTCATTGAATGATGGTGACATGTTCTGTGCCAGCATGATGCGAGAATCATCTAGACATAAGAGCTTAGGTAAGTTCAACGTTGAAATCGACAAGTTACTCTAAAATCAGTTGTTGTCTTAGCATTTGGATTAATAATCTTTTCCTGATTGAAATCTATGTAAAATTAATGCTGTGCAACTATGGCTTGTACGTGAATAGCTCTCCGCATACTCGAGGTTAGTGGATTTCTTGGTTACGATGTGGTTTTCAATATTCCCACTTGCTAAACTCTGATTAAGACTTTGATGTATCATTTTAGGTGAGATCAGCATACTGCAAACAAGACTTTGAATGGGACAACCTAAAGCGCGTCGCTGTTAAGGTAAGTAATCCTGCAATATTTTCTTGTTATTTAGAAAGTTGATGTTGCTTAAAGAAAATTTCTTGACGGTAAGCCCAGAAGTATGATGAAGAAATACACTCATGTTCCTCTATGATGGGATCAGGGTGTTTATCTTGTTTAGGTTGGGTTGGAAAGTTTTGAGCTTTAGATCTTTTATAGTTTTCAAATTGTTCAAATTTAATTTAAATAGGCTGAATTTTTTTTTTACTTTTGATATTTATTGTAATTTTGAAAAGACAGAATGTAAAATAATAATTTTTTATTGTTAGACTTAAAAATAGTGATGATATAGATTAAAAATAAGATAATAAGTTTAAGGTCATCCAAATGAAATTTTGAAGATTTAGAGAAATGAAGATGGCTCATAGCTATGGTTCCAAATTCACTTAGCACCAAATGAAGATGGCTCATAGCTATGTTTTTAATATTTTTTAATATATAAAAAATTCTAAAATAAAGGTAATTTTCTATCACTTTGTAAAAAAAAATTATTTTTGAAAATTATATATTACAATAATTTAAGTTTAAACCGTCTAAATCTAATTTGAATAATCTAGATTTTATTAAAACGATTAACACCTCATTGTTAATCACTCATCATTTCAAGGAGCATTTAACTGTAGACACACCCATATATCAATTGTTTAATAAACTATTTGCAATAAAAAAGTTCACATATTTATATATATTAAATATACTATTTACAAGTGTGCATTGCACCTCCCCATGCTCTCAGTTAGGCCAGAATCTAGTTTATCGAGATATAAAAAGTTGAATCTATTTAGTAGCCGTATGAATGCATGGTATTGTTGGCTGTCCGTGTGCGTTGCAGATGGTCAATGAATCAAACACGAGGCTGATGAGGGAGTATATCTCGGAAACAAGTCCTGTAGAAACTGAAATATGAATCATGCCTTCTGTTGCCTCACCAGATTGCACTATAGCCCTCTATGTACAGAGTATTTTATTCATACATGTCTGTGGAGAACTAAACTATACGTCTCTTTGTTAATCATAGAGTCCTGTAGATGTAGACAGTTATGATCAGACACAGAATAAATTCCAAATGATTGGGCTTGATATTTATTGTAAAGACCCAGTTCTGTATACCTGTGTTACAACCTCAGCCAGCAGAATAAAGTCCTAAACCTTAAATTGATACTCTTTTCCGTCCTAATTATCGGACAAGGTTAACCAACTTCGTGATTCTTATGGAATCTCAATAGCCAACTTGGTTATAAAAAATGCTAATATGGGAATATGTCACGTTAACATTATTTGATAGACAACCTTCTTATTCCAAGTCCAATATTACACTTGAGGTGCTATGCTATACAAAGCCTTGACAGACACAACCAGGTAGGAACTGTGAGCCGTGGCCAATTCTCCCACGTGCCTTTCATTATAAGAGTAGTTCTTCAGTATTGTGAATAAAAACCCATGGATCAGTATGTAGTTTTCCATCATATTACCAAAATCTTGGTTTGGATGGTAATGAGCTGCAATTATTCTCTGGACAGGTCACAGATGTGACCAAATTTTACTAGTAAAAAAGCTTCTTCATAATCTAGACCTGTATGCAATGAAACCATCCTTGAAATAAAACGTCCCCGTCATACTCTGTTCAAGCAGACATCAAAATTTCTTGTCACTCCAAGATTTTCATGGCTGCAAATAACACCAAATGGATTTAAGGGACCCAAAAATAGAGGAAGAAAGAAAGAAAAGGTCAAGCTTAATAGGAGAAAGGGGTCTGCCGTCTATGAGCTTTGTCTCCACACATTTGCACACATGTTTATATAAACAACGGAACTCGCATGAAAATGAATCGACAATCAAAATGAAGTTATTACCTCGACAATACAACGGAGATCACTTGAAGCGTGAATATCACCAGTGCTGAGATATGAATGTGCGAATTCATCAATATGCTCCAGCCTGAAATTAATGTCAAATCACAGTGAACTTGTGAACAAATCACCCATGAAATTAAATGTGGTTGGTTGGAGGAATATGAAAGGAAGGGGAGATTCAAATTAATTGGGTTTTAAAAAAATGGAGAAGTGGAGTTAAAATATTTTAATTTTTGTTGCTCAATTAATTTACATAATGTCTTTATTAAAATTTTATAATCCCATTTATCCCCCCCCCTTTTTTTTCAAATCGAAGTCATTAAAAATTACCCCACCCCTCCCCTTTATTCCCCGCCAGCCAAATAAGGAATAATATCTTCGGGATATACTACCAACAAAATGGACTGAAGTTTACACATAAAGTAATATGATAACTTTTTTTTTTTTTGCCAGAAGACCATTCATATCATTAAAATGCGTTCATATGGTTGTGCATTCACGTCAAACACCACAAACTTCATAAAACTACACCAGGTTGCTCCATTGGTAATATTTCTCCCCAAACTTCACCAACTTCTATTATCAGTAGAACTAAGGCACTTCTATTATCAGCAGAACTAAGGCAAGCGGTGTAAGAGGAAGTTTTATTATCAAGTAAGTTACATGATTTTAGATAAGTTAGTCAACAAGACACATAATAAGCTGGCATTTTTAATAAAATGGTGACTGGGGTAAAGATTACCTATAGACATAGTTCACCATGATGCTTCCACTTTGAGATAGGCCTTTTTCTGACCGATCAGCCATCCAGTTTATTCTCTCAATCATCTATTACAAATTCAGAATAAAAAAGTTATTCATTCGGATAGAAACTAACATAAGTTATTCATGGGCATCCTTAATAACTTATGCTTTTAAGCTAAGAAGGTTCTTCACATCGTATCAACATTTCTATCATTGAGTAATCCAAAGTATTTTTGTATGAGAAAATGTGTTAATAAATTATACTAACATTATTGATAATCCTTCACAAACAGCATAAACTTTTTAAACTGAAACGTCCTTGACAAACGCTACTTAAGACTAGAAACTACATGTAACTTTTTTCCAAGAACATTGATTTCCTTTTAGGAAAAATGTCAGTGAAAAAATTATCTCATACCAGTTCACAGTGAAAAGACCATGAAAGACGTTAAAACACATAACAGTAAATCTCGTACTAAAAGGAAACTACTGATTTCACAAAGAATTGCCGAGAACTGAGAAGTTGATTGACTGTTGAATAAGGCTGCATGACATACCGCTCCATTTTGCAAGTGAAAATTTGCTACTGAATCTAACGCTCTTCCTCTTTTCTTCTCTTGAAGAAGGTATCTACAATATGAGAAAAATATTATTTACCATTTGATGAACTCAGTTCAAGTTATCCAACACTCTTCTTTTTGTTTTTTGCATATGGTCCAACACTCTTCTTTTATTCTCTAGAAAAATTAAATAAATAAATAAATGATGAGAACAGAATACTCGAGTACAATCCCTATAAACTGTTTGTAATACCTGGCACATAATCGCATCAGAAGGGGTTGTAATACGGACAGCATTTCTGTTGATTTGGTCCACTTGTGGTCTGTAGAAGTCAGCAAGTTGAACATCACTTCCATTCCATTTTTTCCATTGGCGATATCTCTGCAACTCATATAGATGTTAAGCACACGTTAAAACCAAGTATAATGGATGTCCCTGACACAAATTATCATTAATTCAATGATAATAGCTAAAGCACCCAAGGAAGGATTTTGAATGCCTCAAAGCTAGAAACGTAACACTTCAACAACAAAAGTTCAAAACCAAGTATCACCAGAGGACAAACCCTAATGAGTTGTGATTGACTCAGAATTAGACTAATATGAATATCAACGCTTTGCTAGTGCAAACATAACATGCAATTAGAGACAGACTGAGAGCTGAAAGCAACTTCTAAGATTGGAAGATCTTCAATATTTTTCTGAAGATCCGTTGCAGATTTGGGCCTCCTTTCAATGTAGTCACCATATTCATTTGACTTTCCATTTCCACTTTAAATAAAGGGCAGCCCATCTATGTATATTATAAGAGTAAGTCCATTTCACTGTTTCCATATAAGCCATGCTTCACTGGGTTTTGTCTCCCTCTCACTGCTAAAAGTTGAATTTGTTTTGTGCATAGCATGGCTGGCCATGCACTAGTTGCGTCCCAATAATGACAGACAGACTGAATACAGACTACTCTCGAAGCAAATATGGACCAAAACATAATTTTTCGAATGAATATAATTATAGAATAGTACATATGTTACTTTGATATACTCATAAGTGCCCTTTCTTCTTCTGGTTTAAGTATATTCTCCCAGAATGTGGAACTGGATCCCTCAGCCAGTGATTGTGATGAGTCTGATTCAGCAAGTATTGATTGTGATGCCAACTTGGATAGAAGCCACTGCATGAATCCTGGGATGGGACTCAGAGTTGCAAATGTCTGCAAGCAAGAATTGAAAATTGATTGATAAAGCAAGATGCACAATGATTTAGTACATAACATATCACAACAATCTAAGAGACATGTCATTTGTCAAGGAATGTCGCATGTTCTAACAATTTTTCGACTTGAAGCATATCAACTTTAGACATTACTCTTCCATGATGACGAAAGCAATATATTAATTTTGGAGTCACTGAAAAATATTGGCATGTCATTTTTATGGTACTCCTCCAAGTACAACTAGTCACTGAAAAATATTGGCATATCAGTTTCAGTTTTGATAGAAGAAAAGAAATACAAGAAGCAAGAAATTAAAAGGCGCAACCAAAAAGTCATATGCATCTTAAACTTGGCAGATTTTTCCATCGGAGCCCGGTGACCAATTTGTTCAATAATTTCTTCAGGTTTTAGCCATTTTCAGCGAATCAACTATTCCAATCTCATTATATAACATAATGGATTGCTTCAGCTAGCTGAAGCCCCAAATAGAATTTTCTAATTTAAAATGAAAGGGACTTTACTCCTAGATGTGAACTTTATGTTAGAGATATTCAAGGAAATGCCTTTACTCTCCAAGAAGAATATACAAGAAATTAAAGGCAATAATTTCCCCCAACAAAGAAAAGGTAAAAATAGAAGACAGAAAGGTGATCGACAGACAGTGTCATATACGATACTATTATTAAGTCAAAACCAAGAAAATGAATGAACTATAAATTGAAACTAAGAGATGATGATGATGATGATGATGATGATGATGATGCCTTCACAAAGTCTTTGAAGCAAGAAACTTCATTTGATCATATCCTTCAAATTCATAGAGCTCCATGAATTTGTTAAAATACTTACAGAGATATGTGGCATTTCCCGTTTCACCAGTGTTATAACACGTTTGATGAGAAACTTTCCTAAGTTGATCCCTGATAAGCCAGGCTGCAAAATTTCAGAACTAGTCCATCCAGGTAAGTGCAAGAAAATTTTCAATTTCTGGAAAACTACCTCCACTATTTATCATTTCCTTAGGAGAGGAAAAGGTCACTGATGGGATACGTAGAAAAGTAAACAGATTTTATTTTCCAAAACAAGAAAGCAAACAGGTATTTGAAACAAGAATAACTTAAAGAAATCAGAAAACATGAATAAAGGGAAAATTAAATCAGAACAGAAATACATATCAGTGAGATGAAACCCCAAGAAAACAAGGCACACCTCACATTTCACTCAGGATGATCTAACCAACCTTTGCCACAATGTACAGTCTAGTTTCTACTATAATTAATCATTCTTTGTGTTTCTTGTAGCATATGCCATACCTGAGTTGATGAAATGGAGTAGAATAATGCACATGTTGCCTCATTTTCAGGTATAGGAGGACTATCCCACAAAACTTCCTGAGAAGCCAAAAAAAAAAAAATTACATAACATAGAAAGAAGGAAAAAAAAATATACTGACCAAGGTTATGTGAAGTCCAAAGAAAATTAACCTGTATAGTCTGAGCTACATTCTTAAGAAGCGCAACTTCAATGAAAATTAAGGGTTCACCTGAGGAGGGGAAAAACAGCATACTTAAACACGTCAAATAATGTAACGCATATAAAGTTCATGCATATAATTGTAATATGACGACCACTCAAACCCTTAGTCAGTTGGTATTTATATGCAAGAATGGTGACACTAAATTCAATTTCCATGTTATTTCACATGAGAAACAAATAAAAGAACAAGTAAACATGCTG